TGAGTGTTTCCAAACACCCCCTTAATTTTAGTTTGATATGCCTAAAATGTTGGTCCTTGAAACAATGTTTTCAAGGATTGAAACCATTAATTTTAAATTTTAAAGATAAAACAAAAATGAGATAATATCAATCCTTGTAGTTTTAAATAAAGGAAAAATCCCAAAAAAGGTCCTTGGAATATGGGAAATGCCAGATTGGGTCCTTAAATTTCGAAAATGACAGAATGAGTCATTGACCCAATCTGTCATTTGTGAAATTCAGGCGAATTGACAATTTTGCCCTCATTTATTCATTCACTACAATGATTCAAGGAATCACTATAAGAGTTTAGGTGTTACCTAGATTCGTATAGCGAATAACTATTCACTTTTTCATAGTCAGGTGTCTTGTTATTAACTACAACTAATGCTGTAATCACTAGAACAATGTAAGCACTACCTAGATTTGTGTAGAGAATAACTACTCATTTTTTCATAGTCAGGTATCTTATTATTGTCAGGTACCTTATTATTAACTACAACGAATCTTGTAATCACTAGAACAGTATAAGCGTTACCTGGATTTGTTTAGAGAATAACTACTCACTTTTGCTCAAGGGCAAAAATGTCAATTCGCCTAATTTCACAAATGACAAATTGGGTCAATGACCTATTTTGTCATTTTCGAAATTTAAAGGCCCAATCTGGGATTTGATATATTCCAAGGGCTTTTTCTGGGATTTTCCCTTAAATAAAAGAGGCGTAGATTAACTACATGAGTCAGGCCCAAAAAAAAAAAAAAACCTCCATGAGAGGTCATAGTGTAAATGCGACTTTTCATCTTCTAGTGTTCAGGCCGCCAGCTCACCACCAAGTCAGGGAGCTGCAATGACATTCATATAAATATATATATATTGTTTTTCTTACCGGCATATATTATTGTTAATATACAAATAAAATATAATTCTTTACAACATGACGAATTAAGATTCGAATCTCTATTGAGAGAGGTGTTCACATTTAGTGCCTGATAGTACCTCAAACATAATTGTCTTAGATAAGAGAATACTTATATTTTAGTAAAAAAAACAGGACATTGAAATCTGATATGATATGATGAATCAAAAAGTATTACTGATCAATGATAAATTGGGTCTTTATAGCCTCTAGAGTCAAAGTTTTTAAATTTTGTAGGATGCTAAGGGATGTGGGTGAGATCTATATATTATTATTTGATTTGATGGATTTCATTATTGTAAGATTTACCCTCACAAATTCACAAAGTGGTGTAGCACATGCGGAGCACATGCGTCCCACCTGTCAACTTAAAAGTGGAAATTATTCACTCAATATTTGTTTTTCCCCAAACGTGTCCTCACTTCGTGTATGGAATCAACCGTTCCACCACAAAAATTTAAAAAAAAAGAACCATCAGTAAAATTTGGAGTACCTATCATTTTACTATCTTTAATATAAGATTTTATTTGATTTTTATTTTGATCATAAATATAAGATATCAATCTATTTTGTCTTTCATATTTATTTTTCTCCCCCTCAAAATAGCTATTCTAATAATGATAGTATTAGGCAACATATTTGATTAGCAAGAATATTTTAGGAGAGACAACACCTATTTATTACAAATAATTAACTTAATTTATTTATTTAGTCTCTTCTAATTAGTTAATTAGTTTTTATAATTAGGATTGGAAGTAGTACAATTTTAGTTTAAAAAAATCGAATATCTTTCATGACGTTAATCATAAACCATCTGCAAAATTTTGAGTATCTACCATTAAATGTAAATTAATTGGGATATTTTTGAAAGGAAAAAAAAAAGCTTACATTTTGTGAAATACTTATAAAAAGTAAATGCTTTTTGTTAACTTTTTTTAATTTTCATAAATTAGTTATATACTACATCCGATCCTTAATATAAGACCTTGTTTAATTTTTATTTTAGTTCTACATATAAGAACCCAATCCATTTTGCCTCTAATATTTATATATTTTTCTAAGGTAACCCTTCTAATAATAATAGTTTTAACTAACACACTTGATTAGTAAAGATATTTTAAAAAAGACAAAACCTATTTTCACGTTGGATTTTGCATTTGGAAGGAATTTGAAAGTATAATCTCAGAGAGGAAATTTTCCTAGAGGAGTTTTGGTGAGGCTGACTTAAAATGCACTCCATTTCCTTTTAAATATAAACCAATTTTAACTGTTTCATTTATACTAATAAAAACATTGGAAATAGTAAATTTGTTATAAAATTCAAATGATTTTTTATTAAGCACATTCGTCCTCCCAGTAGAAGCTTGTTGGATGTATTGTTAATACGAGTAACATTAACTACTGTAAATTCTAATGTTATACTGTATTAATTTTTACTCCTTCTACTTATTACAGCCATCAAATGTTTTATTTAAAAAAAAAAAAGAACAAGAAGACTAAAAGTACTTTCCAAAAAATACCTCGCACATAAGATCAAATGGTGAACAATCCAAGTATGACCAGCTATGACAACTTAAAGGGAATGAGTTAATTTCCCGTAAACAAAATTGAGAGGTTGAATTTTATGAATAAAAAAATATATCACTAACATTATTTTTCAATTGAGCCCAGTAATAATCTAAACGTAATTTAATTCGATAGCATGAGTAGCTTAGTTGAGAGATTGAAAAATTGCTACAAATTAAGAAATGTCGAATCCACGTGTCAAGCATTAAGGGTCGTTATCATCTATCAATATTTCGGGTATCCATCCGTTTACGTACATTTACGATCGTAGGTTATACTGTTCGTAGGTTAAATATATTGTGACGAGGCAGATCGGTCATATTCACTGTTCACACACCGTTCCTCCGCGCGACAATGTCATACTACCTCGGGTGCTTAATATTACCTCCGGTCATAATTATAAAAATCAATTGATTAATTTGAGGAGATTAAGAAAGTAAATTGAGTTAGTTATTTGTCTTAAATATGTGTTGTTTTTTCTAAAATATTCTTACTAATCAAGTGTATTGATTAGAATTATCATTGTTAGAAGGGCTACTTTGGGAAAAAAATGTATAAATATGAGAGACAAAGTGAATTAGGGTCTTATAATTAGGACCAAAATAAAAGTCAAACAAGCTTGTTTGACTTTTATTTTGATCCTAATTATAAGACCCCAATATACTTTCTCTTTCATATTTATATACTCTTCTGGTCCTTAATATAGGACCCAATTCTTGAGTTGATTTTGGTTTTAAATATAAAATCTATTTCTCATATTTATCAATTTTCTTTAAATTATTCCTATGGATACTCCTTCAACCATAATCAAGTAGAAGAGAGAGGGGTATTAAAAAAATGATTATGATATTTTAGGAAAAATATGTCACTTTTCTTATAATTAACTAACCTATCTAACTTTTTTAATTTAATCAAGTTAGTTAAATGAGTTTTATATTAAGGGCTGGAGGAGTATTTTTTTTCCAAGATAGTCCTTTTAACAATGGTAGTTTTAGCCAGTATAGTTGATTATCATTGATTTTTGAGGAAAAATAACACATATTTATTATAAATAACTAATTTAATTTCTTTCCTTAATCTCTTCAAATTAATCATCTATATCTTATAATTAAGACCGAAGGTAGTATAAGGCTTGCCCCTTGAGAAATACCGGCTTGCCTTTTTAATATAAGAGGAACATAATTAATATGAGAATATTAAAAAAAAGTAGTTGAGTTAGTTGTTTGTCACAAATATATATTACTCTCTCTAAACTATTCTCTTCAATCATTTGTATTAGATGATCAGAATTATCTCTTTGTGAGAATCCCTTAATACGATAGGAATATTTTGGATAAAAATGAGAATCAAAGTGAATTGAGGTCTTATTAGCCTTCAATTAGTTCTTATATGAAAGATCAGAAATAGTACTAATTAAGCTCGACAATGTTTGAAACTTTGATCCCGTTAGATGTTCAAATAAGAAGAAAAGAAATCATGCATGCATCATTTGTTATCTAGAATGACAAATATTAATAGTCTAAGATTTTAAGTTTATAAGCGAGGTTAAATTCACGACTTCCTACTTATAAGAGAAATTTCTACTGCTAAACTATAAGGATATTCTTAATATTTTTAACAAATCATCGGATATTTAGTATTATTAACTACTCATATTTGTATCTGTTTGAGAAAGAAAGTCCACCAACATTTTCCTCCCTCATTAACAAAGCTAAAAGTCTTTTGCTAGAAATGTTGAAATCCTTCTCAAATAACCCACCCATCATCTTTGATTCTAAGCTATTAAATGAACCATGTATAAAGAAGAAAGTGACAGACAAAGAAGTTCAGGCATACGATGTGATATGATTTTGTTTTTTCACCCACTCTTTATTCTTTCAATCCCTTCCTAAATACATAACGTACAATTAATAGTTAAATAGGAATCTATCTCCAAAGTAGAAGGTATGTGAAAATAGGGGGGGGGGGAGAAGCTAGTCACATAGACATGTAGGCTCCATTTGGCACCAAAATCTGAAATAAAAAATTTTTATGCAAGAAAAAAATATGCAATATCTTCCATTATTTTTTATACAAGTAGTAAAAATGTCTCATATCCTCTTTTTTTTTTTATATATATTTGAAAATAATTCATATTAGCCGTTTTTGTGGGCATTATATGAAATTTAAGAAATGAGTCATACTAATATACCACTCATAATTTAAAATAACGTGATCTATTAATCAATTTTACTGTAGTACATTGTTGTATTCCCATATTAATATATCCATATATTGATGCTTGCAAAAAAGGTGAACTTACCAGAATACCCTTCTCAAGTTATTGGGCCTCTGCTTCGAAGAGCCAGTGATTTGTATTGGGCTTACGGCCTAGGAACATGGGCTTCTGAGTTGTCCGATTCCAACCAATCCCGTAAAGGTTCGATGCGGTGGGTATGGTGACCGCACTGTAATGTAGAAGCTTCAAATCCGAGCCGTTGTAATGTTCCGATTCCATCTTTTTCTTTAGCATTCCGAACGCCGTGAAAAATGAAAAGTTGAGATCTTTTTAGCCAAATATCAGAAACCCTAATCGTGCGAACCCTGTGCGCTCTCCAAAAAGAAAGGTGCAAATTTCTTCGTCGCTTTCCTGGAAAAACTTCTTCCTTCTTCCTCATTGTTTTTCCTTGTAATCCTCTGAACTCTTCACTGCCTTGTTCTCTCCGTCTACTTCGGACAGCGCTGTGCAGTCTTCTGGGTTTTGTTTTGCCCCATCCTCAATTTTTATTCATTATATATTTTGAAACTAAGAAGATTTTGTTTTTGAGTGAATGAAACTATGAAGAGTTTTCATTCGTGGTTGATTCAGTTTTTATGATCGAGGAATTCGATGTTTTTCTTTAGAATTTTCGTGGGATAATGAACGTAGTGAGTTTTAACTTCGAGTATTGCTTCTTTTCTCGTAGGATTAACTATGGCGGATGACATGGTTGTTAATGGCGTCGATCAGTCTGTGGACGGTTTCCTTGATGCCGATCAAAGCGGGAGTGATGCTCGTGCTGCGGAATTCAAGAAGAAAATCGATGCACTGGAGCGTGAGAGAGATGATTTGGTGAATGAGAATGAAGAGAGGAAGGAGCAAATTCAGAAATTAACTCTGGAGATTAGCGACCTGAAAAGCAGTAAAGGTGAGATGTTGAAGAAGATCGAAGAAATGGAGAAAGAAGTCGAAGAATCCCAGGAGTCTAGGAGGGCGGCAGAAGTTATTGCGAAAAGAGCATTTGAACTTGAGACTGAGGTGTCGAGGCTTCAACAAGACTCAATTACTGAGATGAGCGCTGCTGAAGAAACTAGGGCGGAGGCAGACCAATTGAGGAGGGATTTAGCAGACAAAGAATCGAGAGTTGGGCATCTTGAAAAGGAAGCAGAGGGGTTGAAGAAAACAAAGGCGGAAATTGAGGTGAAGGTGAGGGACTTGGAGAAGAAACTCGGAGTCCTGGAAAAGAAGGAAGTTGAGGAAAGGAACAAAAGAATTAGGATTGAAGAGGATTTGAGAGAACAAGTCAATGAAAAGGAGAAGGAAGTCCAAGAACTGAAAAACAAGACTGCTGAGTTGGAGAAGGTTGTAGCCAGCAATGGATCTGAGATGGAGAATTGGGATGAAGAAAAGAGGAATTTAGAGGAAGCTTTGAGGGAATCAGAGGATAAAGCAAAAAGAATGGAATTAAATATTCTCCAGTTACAGCAAGAGGCTAGTGAAGCCGAGGATGTTATCAGTACACTGAGGGAGAAGGCATTTGGGGCAGTCAATGGACGTGTAAATGGCATGGATGTTGAAGAAAATGGGTTGAAGGGATTGAAGCTGCAGCGGCCATTGGTGGCGGCAGGTTCTGCGGGAGCCATTGCTGTAGCAGCTGTTGTTATCTATGTCTTTTATGGGAAACGCAGGTGATTTTTTATGGCCACATAGTGGCTTAGGTCGGAGAGACATGAATGGGAAGTTGAAGAATGGAGGTTAGGATTTACCTATTTAATAGTCACGAATGTCCTTCAGTTTTGATAGGGTAATGCTTTTCTGGCTTTGTTTTTTAGCCTATGAGCTTTCTGATTTATATTGAAGTTGGCAACTTGGCATACCTTTGTTTGGTTCTTAGTTGCTGCACCTGATTCCAGCTTATGCAGTTTGAACTAATAAAGAATATAAGTGTGTGTTCAATTATATTAGTTTCTAAGTTGAGATGAGAAGTTTGTTTCTGTTCATTATAATATTTACTGGTGTCAATAATGATGGCAGCCAGCAAAACTGAGCCTCTTTGACTCTGTTTTGTCAACTACTTCAGCTATGAAATCTTGCTCTTTTTCATTATTAATTTTAGAGCGGGTTGTGCTCTTTGTAGATTTTATGCAGGACGATGTTATTAGTCATATTTGAATTTGAATTAGATGGCTGGATGATGATCGGGTTCTTTTCTTCCCATCCGGTGATCAGTTCTGGTTGTTGCTGTCTTAGATTGTGGTTGATGTTCTTTTTTCTTTTGATTCTCAGTTAAAATCGGTTTTTAATTCTTGTTCAGAGTCATTGCTAGTGATCTCTATTTGGAACGAGAAAAGCCTTTTTGGTTGTTTTGCTTGCCTATTCATCCTTTTACCCGCCATGTTTTGAGAGCAAAAGTTTTGGGTATGTCAACTTTTGACTTGGCGTTGAGAACAGGGAGTCGTGTTTCGCTTGAGGATAGGATTTTCTATTTTAGGTTATGAGCTTTGAATATCCTATCTGATGGCAAATGGGGTGGGAGATATGGGTAGAGAAGCCATGTTCAACATGAAGGAGCCCTAATGTACTTCAATCCTGGGTGATTAGATTAGATTAGGATATCATTTTTCTCAAGTAACTATTAGTTTATGTGAGTTCGAAAAAGTAATTACGAAGTTAAACTCCAGGATAAAGATTGTTCAGGGAGAGTTGCTTATATCAAGGATTCAAGATGTTATTACTATGAATAGGGTATGACATTGACTGGTTTATTTGAATGCATTTTCCACGCTACTTTATAGTTAGTTTGTAATATTTGAAGGAATCAAAGGCGGTTAGGAGGGCAAGTAGAAAGAATTGTGTTTAAATCCACGAATAAACACAACCATTTTGGGAGAGCTAATTATTTAGGCATTGAAAAAGAGTTAACCAGCATCCAGTATTCTAGTGTCGTACCATAAAGTATCCCCCCCCCCCCCCAAAAAAAATAACACCTAGTATCCTAAAGTATCTTATGTGGTATATTCAACATCTTAAATTATCCTAGAGTAACTCTGTGTTGCTGAAAAAATGCCGTGGGGATGTTGGATGGCAGCTCTCTGAGACTTGTTCTCACAACTTGGTTACCGGGGGCACTGTAGTACAAATTCAGATTTAATTAAATTAGTATGATACTCTTCCGGTCTTTAATATAGGACCCAATTCTTGAGTTGGTTTTAGTCCTAAATATAAGACTCATTTCTCATATCTATCAATTTTCTTTAAATTTACCCCTATAGATACTCCATCAACCATAATCAAGTAGAAGAGAGAGAAGAGGTATTAAGAAAGATGATTATGGTGTTTTAGGAAAAATGTGTCACTTTTCTTATAATTAACTAACTTACCTAACTTCCTTAATCTAATCAAATTAGTTAAATGGGTCTTATATTAAGGATCGGAGGAGTAATTTCTTTTCAGAAAAATTCACTTTCTTTTCATATAATTTCTTTTTTTTTAAAAAAAAAAATTTAATAACTGTTATTCAACTCCCTATAATGGAGGCCCAGAAGTAGGAAGGACAATCCCTTTAATTTTGGATTAGTGTAATTTGCCATCATACTCCAGAATATTTAAAATAAATAACCGGTACGTGCTTAAAATATTAAATAACGCATGTTAATAACTAATATAGTTAATAAGTACTGTGAAATATGGCTCTATTGTAGTAAAACACTGAAGAAAAGAACCTTGGTTTTTGTCGGAGAATCTACTTTTGTATTTCTCGCCCACAATGAAATATTTAATTTGAGCTAAATGAGGAGTTTGGTCTGACATTTGGAAAAGAAAGTGTTGGGAAGCATATGCCTTTTTTCACCCCAAATTAAATGAGGAGTTAGGCTTTCTTGGTTATCTTCTATTTTTAAAAGCTTTGCCCGCCTTGTTATTTGTTATTTAAAAAAAAAAAACAAATGATTTAAACTTGTCCCCCCCCACCCCGCACTTTTTTGGTTACAGGAAGAAGGCAACTGAGAAGTCCCTATTTTTGAGCTGTATACAGACACTCGTGAAGTCTTTATTTTATTTTTTAAAATTCGTAGTGTTGTCTTTTAAGAAATAAGAGCATGAAAAAGAACAATTCATCTCATCTAAATTTTTAATTAAAAAAAGGCACGAAACATGAGAACAGTGCAGTGTTATCCGATCAGTTCTAGGCAAATTTATTGTTTTAGTTATCTTTTATTTACATTAATTTAATTTAATGTGCTATAATTGAGAATGGGAAGGATCCGAATAGCATTTATTACAGGCAAAATGCTCCCTAGCGGCCGATGGCAGAGTTCTAGTGCCGCGGCCGGCCAAGCAAAGCATTTTTTTTTGAAATGAAAAGGTAAAGATGTGTTTTTATTGTTTTTCTTAAATTTTAAAATCGTAATTTGGAATTACTTTTTCCTTTGTCCAATTGTTTCATGTCTGAATTGAGAAATGATAATTTTAGAATTTTTTTAGTTTTTTCATTAATAAATACAATAATATCAATTTTGACCCTGTTTTTCTTATTATTTGGTTTCATTCTACTTCTCTTTCTTTCTATTTCTTATCTTGACTATCGTCTATCATATTGAAATTTGAACAGTCTAAATTTAATATTGTATAAAGTCAATTTTTAAATATTTGTAATTATAATTTTAAACTATACTAGCTAAAATTTTGCAATTTCAGTTTATTAATTTAACATTTATATTGATAATTTTATGAAATATTAATTTTGAACCATTCAAATTTTAATCTATATAAAAGTGAAAGAGAAGGGAAGTTGAGGGAATCCAAATCTCTCTTCCTGCTGAAAACACTGGCATTATACATAACCATGTATGGGTAAAATGATCTGAATAATTGTCAAGCTTGTCGGCAAGAATTAAAATGTTAACCACTAGCAACAGTTAAGGAAAGCTAGCACCCAAAAAAAAAAAAAAAGAGTTAAGGAACAGAAAGAAGAAAAGAAAATGCAAGAAACGAAACAAGAATAAGATTAAATTACAAACAATCAATCCATTGCAAGCTGCAATCCAAACATAAAAAGAATGATGGAACATAACATGAAAATGCAATAGCAGATAAAATATTTTATGGTAATAAATCTCAGTTCAGCACAATTCACACCCACCATAACGTAAAATGAAAATGTCAAATGAATAGTTGTATCTTTTCCTCAAAGCAAAACACACTCTCATACTTGAAAGAATATGCCTCCCAATCTGCCTCTGAAAATTTTGCATCAGCAAAGCAGCTTGCCTCTGAAAAGTTTAACTTCAAACCCAATGGATCGTTCTCAGTGTCTTCTTTTGAATTTGATCTGCTCACTGCTTTATTACCATGAAAAATCAAGTTAGCAAAATATTTGTAAATGCAAATGTTTTCTTTCTTGGATTCTCTCAATTTCTTCATAGCGTCATGTAAAGATAGAAATAAACAGAATGGTAGATCCCACTTTGACACATATAAACCCACACAATCTTGTTCCTATTTCTCTCTATTTCACCTTACGAAGGGCTTCAGGGGATCCAAATTCAGGCAACAATAGACATAAAAAAGGTAAAACTTCAACAATAGAAACAAATGTAACAAGTCTTGATCATATCTCAGGCTGTTTATCCTTAAAGTCATCGATCAAGACTCACTGGATAAGTTCTAAGTTTAATTGATATGTTTATATCATAGTTCTGTCAAATCAGTATGTTGATCAATTATTCAGAAGCATGGTGTTTAAAATTCAAAGTCAATGATCCAAATTGATGGTCGAACTAAAAGTAGTTTTAACTCTTTAAAATTCACAATTCCAATCCTACGATCAGTAACAAGTCAGAAAATATTGTTACTCACCTTATCTGATCTATCATCGGCATAGAAAGTCAAAAATTCCACAGCAACTGGTCCAAGATGTGCGTTCTCGTGGAGCTGGATTTACAGTGGTTTGCTACACCGTACAAATCATAGGAACATTATAGAAAAAACAGGTGGGAAACATGAAATTACCCAAAAAAGCATAACACTCTCAGATGTCAAACACCTCAGACAAAATGTGAAGCAATCAAGTATGTAATTTGAAGCATATCAGATGTATCTTAATATTTGTAATACCTGAGATTCAGTGCTTGCAGGCATTTCTGTCTTTTCCTGCATTGTGGTAGTAGTTGTTTCAGCAGCAGCCACATCTGAAGGTGGCAACGATTCTTTAGCTTCTTCTTCTTCTTTTGATGATTCTCTGACAATTGTTGATTCCTCTACTTTCTGTTCTTCAGCTGCTAATTTTGTTTCTCCAGATTCTTTTGGTTTCACAATAGGTGTTTCTCCAGATTCTTCTGGTTTCACAAGAGGTGTTCCTACAGTTTCTTCTGGCACCACAAGAGGCTCTTCTGGTTTCACAATAGGTGTTTCTTCAGTTTCTTCTGATATCACAAGAAGTGTTTCTCCAGATTCTTCTGCTATCACAATAGTTGTTTCTGCAGATTCTTCTGGTTTCTCCTCAATAGCCCCTGATGCCATATCAGTTTGAGGCACAGAGGACTTACTAATCATCAATGCCTCACTGGTTTCAATGAATGATGATCCATCAACTTCAGTTGCTGCTTCAACTACTGTTTCAGTCTCTATAGCTGGAGAAGGCTCATCAATCCGCCCAGCCTCTTGAGAATCTATCCCCTGCTTCTCTTCCTGCTTCAATTCTGCTTCTAGTTCTTTTATATCTTCAACAATAAGCTCATGAGCATCTTTAATTTTCTCTGCTTCAAAAAGTGGATTCTGTTCCACAGTTTTTGAATCTTCTTCTTCTTCAGCTTTTTGGGTTTCAGCAACAACTTCACTTGCAGCAGCAGATTCAACAACTGTTTTGACCTCTTCTTCAACAGCAGCAACCACCTGTTTTTCTTCACTCTGAGATTCTTCTACTAATTTTCGGGTCTCTTCCACTGATCCTTCCATTTCGTTATGAGCTGCAGTGACAGACAACCCCCTTTTCTTCTTCTCTTCAACTACCGAAGACTGACACTTATCATTATTGGGTCTCACATGACAATTCCCATTTCGCCCATTTTGTTCTCTGAGGATATTCGGATCAAGCTCGCCTAAACCCAGCGTATTTAAAGGAAAAAACGAAGAAAAAGAAAGGAACAGGCGTGAGAAAGTGATTAATTAAAGAAAACATAAGATGATCAAACATAACAATTAAAGACGTAAAAACGAAGGTATCATAAAGAAGAGTGGGAGGTAGGGAAACAGGGTAGATGAAGAATTAATACCTCGGGATTGATTTTGAACAGCAGACGAAGAATGGTGGTTGGGTTGTGAAGGGAAATGCTTATTATTAGCTTTCTTGAGTTGTCTGTTGGATTTCTTCCTGGAAGAAGAAGAACGTGGAGGCATGGTTGACTGGTTGGTGATGACAGAACTCAGAATGGCAGATGAAGGGTTATCGCCACAGGGTTATGCCTTTCGAACGGCTTTATCATTCGTTAGCTTCTTTTGAATTGGAGTGACAGATTTTGTGGATCTTATATATATAAATATATATATTTATATAAAGGGAAGTGATTTGAAATTGAAATGGGGAAGGAGGGAACAGAAAAAGCGTTACAGTGAGCAACGTGGCTTTTAGCCTTCGAAGCTCCCATCCCATAAATGAATGGAAAGAAATGCAGTGATAGACAGGAAATATGATATTATAATGATTTATAATTTTATTTTAATATTATTAGATTATAAATTAATAGTTATCATTTTCAATTGAAAAAGGAACCTATATTGAAATACATATAATACGCATTTTTACGTTTTTTAAAAATCATGTAAATTAAGTTCGAATATAATAATAAAACAAAATTTTCCCATGTAATAAGTATAATTTGATAAAAAAAATTGTTAGTCAGGTTAAAAAAAAAGTTAAAAAATTGTTAGACCAAAAAATTTATTAGTTTGAAGTTTGAACAGAAGCTTAGGAAAAAAATCAAAATTAAAGAAAAGGTAAAACAGAGATTAAAAAGAGGCATAGGACCTGAGTATAAATAACACTGTTTATATACTAGGGAATAATAAAGGAAAAATTACAATGAGGTTCCAAATAAGAAAAACAATTAAAAAACAAGTCTCCAATGTTGTTATTATCACCATAAGACTTGTCATTATAGACTGTTGAAATTGTTATTGGGATCTTTTGGTAATTATTTCTCTTCTATGAGACTTGATTGTAATTCCCCCAATAATAAATTGCAGGAAAAAATTAGTCGAGTTTCATATAATTTACTTCAATTTTGTAATTTATTTATTTTAATGAAGTTCTTACTATTTGATCCAATAATTTTAATTTATAAACTTTATAAATAATAAATTTCATTTATAGAAACGTATGGATGATAAAATGGTATTAAATAAAACGAGAGAAATTTCATAAAAGCCATACAATTTTATAAATTAACTTACTGAGTTTTACACTTAGGGATGAACACAAGGATCCAATTCACAAAATAAATAAACTTAGAAAATTGATCCAAAATTGAGGTCGACTACAAGGATCTATGTAATACTTTTCCCGAATAAAATTTATTTTTAGAATAATAAATATTGACATATTGATTTCTCGTTGGGCCTTCTGGACTCAAGCCCAACAGTTTAGAAACGGCAGGCAGATGCAAAGCCCTAAGACCCAAAAAAAAAAAAACTTAACGCTTCCAGCATGATCATCTTCTGGAAGCTTCTGTAAGTGCTCAACCCCAGAACCCCACACCTCAGTTTCGAACCCTCGGGGCTCATCCGGGCCGGAGAAAGACCTTGGAGGCTCATGGCTGCGGCGAACCAAGCGCGGCCACTTTCTATAACCTCCGAAAGGATTAACCTCAAAACGGTGGAAGAAGCCGTGAGATCGCTCGTGAAGTGGAGAAAATCCAGGTCCCACAGCGAGAAGCTCAACTTATCGGATCAAGAAGACGAGTTCTTCTACCTCGTTCTCTCCCTCAATAAAGTCCCCCATCGAGATCGCGCAAATACTTATAAGATTCTTCTTCCGCATTCTCTCCTCTCCGAATCTTCCGAGCTCTGTTTAATCATCGATGACAGAATCAAGAAAGGACTCACCAAGGATGATGCGCAGAAGAAGATCAAATCCGAGAATATACCTATTTCGAATGTCTTGAAGCTCTCGAAGCTCAAGTCAAACTACCGTTCGTCCGAGGCGAAGCGAGAGCTATGTGCTTCTTACAATATGTTTTTCGCGGACAAGAGTGTGGCTCCGCAGTTGCCGGGCCTATTGGGGAAGAAGAAGGTTCCTGTGCCGTTGGATTTGAAGGATAGGAATTGGAAAGAGCAGATTGAGAAGGCGTGTTCTTCAACATTGTTGTGTTTGAAGACAGGTACGTGTTGTGTGGTGAAAGTGGCCAAAGTGTCGATGGAGATGGGTGAGATCGTTGAGAATGTGATTGCTGCTTGTAATGGTATCGCCGACGTTGTGCCCAGTAAGTGGGGGAATATAAGGTCGTTTCACTTGAAGCTGTTGGTGTCTCTTTCTTTGCCTATTTATCAGGCTGATCCAGATAAGGATTCTAATTAATTACACGGCATGTACATGAGCTATGCCGAAAATTTAAAATTTTGTTTCAGTTCCGATTATAATATTCTGCTTCTATTTTTGTTATTCTATAGTCTGTAGTTACTCACATCTTGTTCAAAATTAAAACTTATCCAAAAATTTGGAAGATGAATGTTGGTTGGTGAACACCATAATGTTTCCCAAGGAGTTAATAAGAAAAAGTTTTCCGTGACCGCTTTTCATTTCCGTTAGGAGAGTGAAATAAACATCATGTTTGTTTCTGTCTCTTCAATCTAATCCATATTTTTTTGCCAAAAAAAGAATGATATTTGTATTTGAGTATGCATCAGTGTTGTGCTCTGTATTCATTCAGTATTCACGTTGATGCATCTTATTTCTTGAAAGATATCGGAGAAAGTTATTCCTAGGGTGAACTAGTTTGTAGCAGGAGTTTAAACATTTGTGCATGCTAACAAAAGTAAGGGGCTTTTGGATTTAAAATATGCCCTGGATTCAAAGATTGTGATCTATCTTTCTTTGATGTTTGGATATCTCATTTTCTCTCCTTTTTTTTTTTTGGGTTTTGAATCTGTTAGTGTATTTAGGTCTTGCTTGTACAAATTAGACATATAAGCTTCACGAAATATTTTCATGGTCACGAGGGATTGAATGAGTTTAAATTTACATGCAATTTTTGCTGGCCCAGGAGCTAAATATTAGGAAAAATTGGGAATATATCCGTTATTGAGAATTTAATTAGTAAATGGTACTTAGGAACAATGTGTAATTAAACTTTCCCAGTGTGCAATTCAACTTTCTTCATTTGCAATCCATCTTCCCTTGTGTATAATTATATTTTCTTGTGTCACATCTTCTCTTTGTGCAACTAAACATACCTTGTATACAATCCATTTTCCTTTTTGTGTAAGTTATCATCCTTTTGTGCAAATTAGTCTCTTGTATCTGAATAATATTTTGTGCAAACCATCTTCCCTATGTGTAACTTATCTTCACTTATGTGCAACTTATCTTCCTCTATGTAACCTAAGGAATCATTTGCCAATTAATTTTTTAATGAGGGATTTATCCCCAATTTTTCCTAAATATTATTGGACAGAGTTAAGATTTTACATTTGTCTGCTGTATTATGATTGGATGAAGGGCTTTTTCTGGGAAAAATATTGGATATCACATAACACAACTGAAGAGTTCTTAATCATTTTTAGTTTTGACCATGCACAATCCGATGGTCACCTTTGAAATCTAGCATCATTTGAAGTGCGTTGAGTCCTCCTTGCATACTTTTTTCCTTGCGGAAAAGACATGAAATTGAACCTCTTCCCCTTGACAGAAGGAAGTCCGCAAAAGGGTTTCTACAATTTGTGCAGTCTTGGTCTTTGCTCTCTGGCTTTATGGGTAGAAGGTCATTAATTATTAGTACTATCTTTGAATTTCTTTGTTGGGCAAAAAGTGGTAAAGAACGTCTATTTTACCACTTTTCAATAATCAAACATGGCAGCTGAAAAAGAAGACAGAAAATTAAATGCGGTAGCCATTTGCTCAAATGTTTCATTTTTTTTTTTTTAAATAGGGCTAGGCATTGATCACATGACGTTATGAGCCAGGTTATACTACTCCGTTTCTTATTATAAAATTTAATTTTTTAAATGGGTTTATCTTTTTTATAATATCTTTTTTGAGTTTGTCTGAGTATATTATTATGTATTTAATACATTCTTTTTTAGGAGAATTGTAATTAGGTCCCACTTAAGGGGATTAAATACAAAAAGGTTCTTTGGAATTATTAAATTATTCTGAAGTTTTAAAGGATTTTTTTGTAATAAATTTTATTTATTTAATTATCAAATTATTTTTTTTTTAAAAATTTATATTGACAACTGAAAGAGTAGTGATTGACAACTTAGAGTGTAAGATTGACAACTATTGCGGTTGGTTTTACAACTCATGCGTTATATTTTGTTAACCACCGTTTTAGTTGTCAATACAAACTAAAAAAAGAAGAAGGGTAATTTGATAATTAAACAAATAAAATTTATTGCAAAAAGGTCCCTTAAGACTTCAGAATAATTTCATGATTTTAAAAGATTTTTTTGTATTTAATTCTTTTGAGTGGGACCTAATTGCAATTTTCTCTTTTTTTAATTTATCTCATTAGTACTCTTTCACATTTACTTATTTATATATAGGGGTATATTTGAAAAAAATTGTATTTATTACATATTAATTGCTTTTAACTAATTTTAACTGTTTTTTTGAACTGCACAATTTAGTTAAAAAGATCTTATTAGGGCGGAGGGAGTAAGATTATTTGACAATATTTATTATTAATGTATAAAAGTTGTCGAATAGGTAAATATGGTCACAGGCACGACATGGAAAAATTTGGATTCTAGTTACAGATCTATTTATGGAAATAAATATTAGTCAATCAAGCTATTGAACAAATCATTTTCTCCATTAGATGACAACTTCAACGATTGACAAGAGGACAATGGGACTCGTCATCTTTTGACGCTTGACACTTGGAGAATGGAAAATCCGTTACTTAGGGGGTGTTTGGATATAAACCAAACCGTGGTTTTAGAAGTGTTTTTACGGATTACGAAGTAAATATGTGAAGGAAATTACCTCGTTTTGCAGAAAAGTGCTTTTGAAACCATGGTTTTGGGTTTCCCAAATACCCCCTTAATTTGACTTGCTTAATTGATCAAGCCACATTGGTTATTTTTCAAATTCGACAATAGAAATGGTCAATTTTTTTTTTTGATAACAATAGAAATGGTCATTTTCGAAACCCTAAGAAATTATTGTAATCAGGCCTTCACTTCCCCCCAGGCTCCCCCCCAACCTTCCCTTTCATGATTTTATTAATTAAAAGGAAGGCCACGTATTATTTTCTGTTATTTTTTTCTTAACAATTTAGACCGCCACGTCGTTCTTTTGATGCAGAATATGACATAATACTATTTAAATGTATGAAAAATGTTTCTTCAGGTTGTCTTAATTTACGGCAGTTGCTATCAATTTAGCAAACGATATAATCGTATTGTTAAAATACTCGCATGTCCCCAACGACACATGAACTGGTTTCAATTATTTCCTCTATTTTACATTTGCAAACAAAGACCCAAACTAAATAAATGATCTTCTAGAACTAATCATGATTTTTCTCTAACCAACATTAATTTGCAACAAAATTTTTGTTCAATAAAGTAAAAGAATTGCAACAATTTACTAGGCAGCTTTGTGAAAACATTCATGTATGTTAAACCCGAGTGAGACGATATTTTTTTAATAGGCTAAAATATACATTTGGTCCTTTAATTTTATACAAGATTTCAATTTGGTCCTTTAATTTTAAAAAGTATATTTTTGGTCCTTTAACCCTAAAATTTTTTTAAAAAATGATGACATTAAGATTTTAAATATTGATAAAATATTCTCAAATGCTAACACATTAAGTTTAATTTTCAAAACATCTATGATTGTTACAAAAAATCATCATTAAAACTTAATGATTTTAGGCCTAAAAGACCAAATGTATATTTTTTAAAGTTAAGAGACCAAATTGAAACCTTGTACAAAGTTAAAGGACCAAATGTGTACTTTAGCCTTTTTTAATATCTTTATATTGGAGGCAAGGGATATTGTCCAATATTAAATATAATGTGGTGAGTACCTATTTCAATGAGGATTTAAATTTTAGTTCGCTGAATTATAAGAGACAAGTCTTTCTGCTAGATTTAATTCCTATCGGTGCTGCTTTGTGGATCAAATTAAATAGAAGTATTTAAAAAAATTTCCATGTTTTTTCCTGGCGGGTACTAATGGTATTTCCAACCCACTACTAAAGACTATTCCCATATTGATATAATTGTTATTACCCATTTCAATATTGGTAAATCTGACTGAACAGATTGGTATATATAGGGAAAACTTTAATGCAAAGTCAAATTTAATTTATATATTGGTATACACTTGTTGCAGCACTATGCTGCTACGCTACTAACACACACATACACACAACCTTTTTTTTAAATGGTCAAATCTCAAACCAAATAGTATGCAGCACGAGTTGCAGACTTAGAATACTCAACAGTGATATATATATATATATATATATATATATGGGAAGAGGTGACAAGAAACTACACCAGGCAAATCTCAGGCAATTACAATGGCTAAGGTCTGTTTAAGGCCAATTTTCTGTGTCTTCCTCCTCCTCGTCGTCCTAATAGCCCTAATATCTCATCATGGCACTGATGCTCAGCCAAACTTCCTAAAATCCTTCTGTGGAAACGACACAACTAATAGCAATAGTACCTACCAAACCAACCTCCAAGCCCTCTTGCTAAACATCTCTTTCAACATACAAATCGACTATGGCTTCTACAACTTCTCCTCCGGCGAGAACTCCGGCAAAGTCAACGTCATCGCACTATGCCGAGGAGACGTTTCAGCACAAGATTGCCGCAGCTGTATCTCAGATTCGAGGGTTGTTCTTCCTCAAGTTTGCCCTAACATGAAGGAGGCAATCGGCTGGCATGACTTCTGCTTCCTCCGATACTCCGACCGATCCATATTCGACGTCATGGAAACTTCGCCTTCTTTCTCTTTGTGGAGCACTCACGACGCGTTGCAGAAAGATCAGTTCAAGAACGTACTTGCGCAGTTGATGAGTTCTTTGAGAGTAACCGCAGCAACGGGAGACTCGATGAGGAAGTTCGCGGCGGCGAATGTGAGCGGTCCTAGCAATCAGACGATATTTGGGCTGGCACAGTGCACGCCGGACTTGTCCAACGACGATTGCAACGTTTGCTTGAATTGGGCGATCAATCAAATTCCTAAATGTTGTGATGGGCAGACAGGCGGTAGAGTGGCAACGCCCAGTTGCAATGTTAGATATGAGACTTACAAATTCTTTGGCGGCGGCACGTCGTCACCACTTTTGCCAGCCCCGCCATTGCCACCACCGCCTCATCCTCCCTTTGGTCAACCCGTGTCCAAGCAAGGTATCAAAATTCCAGAAAAAGTTCCTTTTTCTTTTGTTTTGAACTTAAAGGAACATCCACTAGCCGATCTATGCATAATATCATGAAAAACTGATACTCTTGCTCAACATAAGACCTATTTAACTAATTTAATTACATTAAGAAAGTTAGATAAGTTAGTTAATTATAAAAAATATGACATGTTTTTCTTAAAACACCATAATCATCTTTCTTAATATCCTTTCTCCCACTTCTATATGATTATGGTTAAGGAAAATCCATATAAATAAGTTAAGAAAAATTGATAAATATGAGAAATAGGTCTTATATTTAGGACCAAAATTAACTCAACAATTATGTTCTATATTAAGAACTAGAAGAGTACAAATTTCTGTCTCTTACTTTGTATGGGTAATAGGCCTGAAAAAGTATCTAAAAATAAAAAATTTAGATATTGGTACTCTGTCAAAATAAGGAACCATGATGTGTGTGTATATGTGCGTGTTTGAAATAGATTCCATTTTGAGTGAGTTGAAAAAGCACTGAGATTGAGATTATAAGATTGTCTCAAAATACTAGCTTCGTAATATTTATGTATTTGAGGGAAAACTATTTAAAAGGAAATAGAACAGATTTTTGTGAGATTTACATAAATATTTTTATTTATTATCTATTCTTTTAATATTCCTATCATATATATTTGTTTATCTTTAGGAATATAAAAGATCAACGTTGATTAATATCTTTTGGAAAAGGAAACACACACACATATTGCTCATCTGATGTAGTCAAATGATATTTATCGTATCAGTACTACAGTGTAAGGTTTAATTTAAGACTATCTGGTAAATTAAAATTCTCAATTATCAGACTAACCCGTTTTCAACCGGAATCAGACCGTACTCTTGAGCAAAGTTTGCTCGATATGCCCTCATATGGGTTTCCCCAAGTTTTTTATTTCTATTTTTAAAAATTTCATGAATTAAAGCTAGTATTTGTACATACATGATCGATCAATTATGTGATCATACATATATAATAATTAATGCAATAATACTTTTTTTTTTTGGGTCTTGTGCAGGAAAGAGCAATAATACATCACGAATTGTTATTGCCATAGTTGTGCCATTTGTCTCAATCGCAGTGCTCATCTCTATTGTCGTAATTTACTTAAAATTCAAAGTCAGGAGGCCTCAGAATATTGACAGTAAGTCAACATATTACGTTGCGTGCTGATTTTTTTGGTCAGGCCGGCATGTCGTTTTAATTTCTATTTTTTTATGGGTGACGTGTCGTTTTAATTTTCTTGATACAGAATATAACACATAATAATAATCAATTTATATATACTTATTTAACTAATTTGATTAGATTAAAGAAGTTAGGTAAGTTAGTTAATTATCAAAAGTATAACATGTTTTTTCTAAAACACTATAACCATCTTTCTTAATATCCTCCCTCCCTTACTTAACTATGGCTGAGAGAGTATCTATAAGGTTAATTTAGGAAAAACTGATAAATATAAGAAATAGGTTTTATATTTAGAACCAAAATTAACTTAACAATTAGGTCCTATATTAAAGAGCGGAGGATTATATATCAATGTTATAGCATCTAGGTGTTAACTGAGTCCAGATGAGTTTGATATTATAGGCAAATCAAGCTGGGTCCAAACCCAGCTAGCTAGTAGGAAGTAGAAACAGATTAAAAATTATAAAAAACATATTAACAGCAGTCTCTATCTGTGGTTTCAAGATGGACAAGTCATTAATTAAATTAAAACCATTTCAATGCGTATTCATGACTCCATTATTAATTTGTATTCCAATCAATGTGTACGTAGCCGAAGCTAAGGATGTTGCTGACTCATTGCAAATGGACTTTGAAACAATCAGAGAGTCAACAAATGATTTTTCTGACAAAAATAAGCTTGGACAAGGTGGATTTGGACCTGTTTACTTGGTAAGATGTATTGTATGACAACGAAGTTTGTTTTTGAAGTTCTAGCTTGGAATGATGTATTCAAATTTTTTAAATAATTTCAGGGTAGGTTGTATAATGGACAAGAGATAGCAGTAAAAAGGTTGAGTAGGGAATTTGGTCAAGGTGATATGGAGTTCAAGAATGAAGTGTTACTAATGGCCAAGCTTCAACATCGCAATTTAGTCAAGCTACTTGGTTTCTCTCTCAAAGATAAAGAAAGGCTACTTGTTTATGAGTTTGTTCCAAACAAAAGCCTTGATTACTTCATCTTTGGTAATTTATTATTTATGTTTTCCTATTACTTATTCAATGATTGAGTAGAAGCATAGTTTTTAAAAAATAATACTGGATATATCATAGCACATTGGTATTTATTCAGATCCAATAAAGGCCACAGCATTGAATTGGGAAAAGCGTTACAAAATCATTGAAGGCATTGCACGAGGTCTTCTTTATCTCCATCAAGATTCTCGAATTCGAATTATTCATCGTGACCTCAAAACAAGTAATATACTTTTGGATGAAGAGATGAATGCTAAGATATCGGATTTTGGAATGGCAAGACTACTTGTAATGGATCAAACTCAAGCCAAAACAAATAATATTGTTGGCACCTAGTAAGTCAGTTTATATCATTAGCTAACTATGCAGTAGATATATATATATATATATATGTTATTGTTTAACTATTATGAAAAGTTTAATTACATGACAATGCAGTGGATATATAGCACCAGAATATGCAAAGCATGGAAGATTTTCAATGAAGTCGGATATCTTTAGTCTCGGAGTACTGATTTTAGAAATCATAAGCGGCAAGAGAAATAGTGAATATGAAGATTGGGAAGATCTAGAGCATATAGGAAGCGCAGTAAGTTGCCCCCTCTATTGTGACTTTACACTATAAATGAAATTGCAATCCCATAACACATGATCCCATGGCATGTGTAATATTAAAAATTTACTACGTCGAAATAAGATTTAGTTTGTATGAAAAATTACACTATAAATTAGATGTTATATTTAAGACTAAGGTAGTACAAATTCTTATTAATATAATCTGTGGCTCATTTGTGAAATATTGTTACAGGCTTGGAAAAGCTGGAGAAAAGGGACATTGTCAAGTATTATAGACCCCAGGCTGATTGAAGAAGGTGGTTCTTCAAGAAATGAGATAATGAGATGCATCCAAATAGGGTTATTGTGTGTTCAAGAGAAGGCAAGTGATAGGCCAACAATGGACACTATTGTGGCAATGTTGAGTGCTTATTCATTCTCTCTACCCATTCCTCTGCAGCCTTCCTTTTATATACAAGGAGGCTTACCAGATGATGTTTTTATTACATCTTCATCATCGTCTCAAGAAGATCAGTCCGCAGTTGAAGCTTCAAGAAATGAACTCTCAATTTCAGAACAGTATCCACGTTAGATCATATTATATAGATGACTGGTTGATGGTTTTGCAGCTTAATTAGTGGTATGGAAGCTTCTTTGTGTGTGAAAAATTACGTATTCCATCCTATTAATAACATCAGACCGTCATTTCCAACGTCCCTTTAATTTAATGTGTGTGTACGCGTGTGACTAGCGCCTAGCGCAGTTTTCTGTCTCCCCAAACACCGTTTTATAAGATCTACGAGAATCTGTACTATGCATAGGTTATGAATAATTAATGTGCCTTATTTCGGATGATATATATGTAGCTAAATTGTAGTTGTTTTGAATGATCTCGGGCACCAACAAAATGTTGCTTCGTACAATCATTTTCGAATCTAATAACGAAGGTGAACTTGTGTTTTCATGAATGGTTTTGTCACCCCTGAATGGTAGTTAGGAAGTTAGTTTTGATCCTCTCTCTCTCTCTCTCTCTCTATATATATATATATAGGATCTTAATTCATTTTATCTTATATTTATCATATTTATTCAAACTAATTTATCTAACTTATAATTTGACATAATATAAACTAATGTCATATACAGGTATTTTAAAGAGATCATGTCAATTTTGTTAGAATTAAGTAATTTATTTAAATTTTTTAATATATTCTAATTAATTAAATATACAGCTCTTACATTAAGAATTGAAGGAACGTATATATGCTAAATAGAGTAAGACATAAGGGGATCAGTGTAACATCCCGAATTTTCTAACTCAGGACGAGCAGAAAAGAGAAAATTTATTAAAATTATTTAATAGCTCAATAACAATTGGGAAAAATTATGGAATATTGATTTTCAAGGTTTAGAAATATTTTGGAAAAGTTCATTCTCCAAAAAGTGGCTTAAATGATTTTAAAGCTATTTTCATAGCAAAATGGGTTATCTTCTTAGAAAATACTTAGAGGTTTCTAATTAACTAGAAAATTTTAGGGAAATTATCTTATGAGGTAAAGAAGTTATTTGAGGTATAAAATCCTTAAAATGGGTTAAGGATTAATTTCTGGAATTAAGAGTTATTTTCTTGAAAAATTCAAGAAAAATAGTTATGAGTTAATTTTTGACCCAAAATTTTTAGAGAAATTATTTTATGGGTCAAAGAAGCTAATGGAAAAGAAAGATCCATATAAAACATGGTGGAATAATTTTTGGGTTTATCTATTTATCTCAGAATTATAGAGGAAGGATGAAAATGAAAGAAAGCATTAAGTGTAAGGGCAAAATGGACATTTCGTTTTTTACTTCCTCATCACACGCGTACTGCCTCACCGTTTAACATAAGATAACACCCTTCCTCCTCATTTTTTTCATTCCGCCACTCGAAAGAAAAGAGAGAGAGTCGGAGAGCGAGAGAGGGAGAGCACGGGAGAAGCAGTACCGGAGTTGGTGATCGGAGGTAGTGATCGGTGGCCAGATTCCTGCATGCAAACGGAGTTTCAGAATCAGGTGAGCCCTCTGATCATCATCCTACTCTTCTTTCTTTGGTTTGCTGTGTGTTTGAAATGATGAAAGAAGTTTGGGTTCTAGTGAGAGAAACTCTTGGTTAAGTCTGAAGCTCAATGATGATGAAAGAGTAGTGTTTATTGCTGATAATGGAGTGTGATTTTTAGCTTGCATGTGGATTTCCTTGCTCTGTTTTGTTGCTGGCCGAACAGGGGTTGAGTGGCTAGTTTAGGATGATAATGAGTTAAGTTCATGGAGTGAGCATATTGTATTGCATGTTGCTTATCTCCTCTGCAAGTTAAATTTGAATAGTTGTTGTTGTTGTTTCTGATGTGGGTGGCTTCAGGTTCTGGTGGAATTAAAGGGGGAAAATTACACTATTCACACGGATGTATATATGAGGCCGTATGTGATGTTGGTTTGTGAAGTGATGGTTTTCGAACCCCAAGCTCTGTTTTAATTAAGTGACATGGAGTTCCCTGTTTTGGTTGTATAGTGTCGGGTTCATAGTAACAAAAGTAAGGGAAGTTCAGATATTATGCATAAGAGCTTTAGATGGTGCTGTGTGATAGTTTGGTGAATGTCTTCAAATCAGTAAAAAGAACAAAATCCAGAATATGGGTGCTGATGTACGAAACATTTATGGAGGCTAGAAAGTGTCTAAGTTATATATATAGAGAACGAAGCTATTTGGATATATATTAGTGAATGTGTGTGTGTGTATATACGGGGGAAAGCCGTGGGAAGTATGAGTGGAAAACATTGAAATTGAAATGGTTAATTGGGAGGAAGTATAGGCATGATTTTATATATATATATATATATATATATATGAGTCTATGTGTATAAGTGTCCGCTTGGTTCAGTGATTTAAGAAGAAAAAGTTGCTGCAGTAAATATTAATTAATATGGGAGGAAGATGAAGACATACACAGATATAGATAAGGTTACACTTGGAGATTGGAGTTCGAATGTTCTCTGGTATTGTTGTTCTGTGTTTGGCCGAAAGGGAGTTTATATTTGCGTGTTATGGGGGCTGAGAAATCCAGATTTTTAAACATAAAGGGTGTTCGTTGTTTGATGCTCCTAGAATTCGAATAATATTGCTGTTATTATATAATGATTTCAGCTAGTCATATCATAAGTAAGAAACTTCAACGTGATGGTTTTAGTGTGGAATTAAAGCTGGAAAATTTGAATACAGTTGCTTATTGTTGCTTCCAAGGTCAAGCAGCTACATTAGATTCTTAAGTCATAATTAAGGACTATGAAATGATGATTAAAAGATTGGTTTTAAATCTGGAAAATTCCAGAATAAGGCACAAAATTGTCCTAAACTAAGGTGGAGTTTGCCGAATTGGAGGAGGTACATTGAAGTCCAAATAGATTATATAGGGAGTCTTGCTTATCAATGATTTAAATATGATTTCAGTTTTGGGTTAGGCAATGATATTTGCAAATGATAAATGTAGAAGTGGTTTAGAGAGTATAAGAGTGTGTGTGTGTGTGGTGTAAGGCCATGAGGTTCATATTGAGGAAGCTGGAAATGATTTGAAAATGAGTATTCCATGTTTTCAAGAGCTGTACACTAATTTCAGATGGTTAAATAATAAGTAGGAATTATTCTTGAACTTGGAAGTTTGAGGGATACAAGTATATGCAGGGCAATGTGTTATGAAGAGAACATTCTTTAATATTCTAGATGTTGAGCAATGATTTTGGATCATTGAATTAAATTTGAATGCCTTAAGTCAATGATGGAGTTAGATTGCCCGGAGTTAATAAGGAATTACAAGGCCTAAATTAAGTTTGTTAAATGTGAGAATTATAAAGGTAGCTAAGAACATGGGGAATTGGACTTGAATTAGAACATGTAGTTATAGTAAATCTGGAAAATTTCCAGACGTGAAATAAAGGGGTACAAAGGTTTGAAGCAATAGGATAATGATTTAAAGAATGTTTAAATGTGGTCTTAATAGATGAATGGCCATTGGGTTATATAATTATAATTTGGAAATTTTAATAGTTTATTTGTGGCCGTTTGAAGTGAGAATTTTGGGTGTTATATAAGTGAATATATATAAACTTGATTGTTGTGTGTGCTGACCGTGGAAGTTGGGGATGGAAAATATTGAATATGGAATTGTTTTCCAGGAGGAGGTTAGGCCGCGAGGTTTAATGGAAGGGGTGATTAAAACATAATTAATACTACCTCCGGTTCTTAATATAAGACCCTGTTTGACTTTTTGTTTGGTCCTAATTATAAGACCCTAATCCATTTTGTCTCTCATATTTATGTATTTTTTTCCAAAATAGTCCTTCTAATAATAATAGTTTTAGCCAATATACTTAAGTAGCAAGGATATTTTAGGAATGACAATACTTATTTATTACAAATAACTAACTTAACTTACTTCCTTAATCTCCTCAAATTAGTCAACTGGGTCTTATAATTAGGACCGGAGGTAGTATATTTATATATGTTTGTTACATGTGTGTATTGATTGGAGATATATAGAAATCTAGAAGTTCTAGATTGGGAAGTATTTGAGCATTATTGAGAGCTAATGATAGCTAGGAATTGAGGTGTTAATAAAGTCATTGAGAATGTTGCTAAGGCTATGGGACGCTTAGAGATTAAATGATTGAATTTAGGATTTATTTCAATAGCTAGTTACTAAGTAAAGTAATACTATGAGTTGAGATAAGGAAGGAAGCGTTCCAAAGATAATAGTTCAAATAAGAAAAATTGTCCAGGATGACCAACTACTAAGTGAGGGTAGAGATTGAAGAAGATTTGGGATTTCAAGAGTTATTTAATTATGAATTATAGTTGGATCAAGTATTGATCTATCCTTACAAATATGATAGGTTTTAATATCTGCTCAAGCCCACCAAGAAGCAGAAAGAAAGGAGAATGGTAAGGTTTGGTTTGGAGGGAAGCAGACCAGGTAGTAGTTCTTTCCTACCTTACATTTATGTATGATTGTTGCATGTCTGTTTGTGCCATATTGCTATTCAAAAAGCATGAGAACATGTAATCCTTAATTCCTTGCATGAGTTAATAGCCGTGATCACGTGCAGCTGAAAGATATGGGGCCTTATGAGCCATTATTGCGCGGCCTTATGTGCCATTACAAGCGCGGCCTTATGAGCCATTATTTATGTTGTCTTACGAGCCATTGTATGTCTGGCCTTATGTGTCGTTGATTGCGCATTCAGCTAATCAATCTAACTATGTGTCATTGCACTTAAATGCTTTTTATGCATAGCTTGCAAGGTTATATTCCATATGGCTTGTTTTGCATGCTTTATGTAACCTGCATATGTGTTTGATGGAAACTACTACTACGGGGATTCTTTAGAATCTCACCCTCCCATTCATGATGAACAGTGAAGGCTAGTAGCTCGATGGACAAGGAGGTTGTTTAAAAAGAAGGTGAGCTAGTTGAAGAGCGGAGATGCCTGCTATGTTATGTACTTCTGAAGTAGAATATTTTGATAAGTTAATATTTGTACTATTGTATATGTCACATGGGCAAGTAACTTTACTTGCTTTATGTAAATATTATTTTGTATCCTCCATAATGAGGAGAGCACTGCCAGGTGCAAGTATGTACTGTTAACCAAGATGGTTACTATATTTTCAACATAATAGTATGAGATTGCACAGTATGAAATCATTCTAGGTGATAATAGATTAAGTTGAATGTAGGGTTGAGTGTGAATCACTCTTCAATTATTCTAAAGGTTTGAAATGTTTGATTGACGGATTCCAATGTTAAGGGAAAAAAAATTTCCCTGTCTTTTCCCAGGTCAGAAACCTGGTGTTAGTGATTCACAGACATTAAAATGATCCTATTAGTATTGAGTAAGTTAGGTGTTGCAATCAGGATTGTTATGGTCATATACTTTGGGTCAAATGTTGGATTAAGCTTTAATTAATTTCTTAAATACTGATATTTAATATAAGAGCTAGTTTGCTATTAAATTTGATTCTAAATATAAGATCCTAATCTATTTTTTCTCTTATAGTTATTCATTTTTTTCTATGATAGTCCTTGTAATGGTTGTACATGTTAAAAGTTTTATCACATGATTACCAAGGATATTTTAGGAAAGATAATACCTATTCATTAGAAATAACTAACTTAACTAATTTTTTTAATTTATTCAAATTAGTCAACTAATTTTATAGTAGTACTCCTCTGTCCTAAATATAAGTCCCATTTTGTAGTTTAAATTGCACTACAAAATGGATTTTATATTTAGGATCAGAGAGAGTTTTAAATACAGGATGGGGTATAACATTTTTACGAATGTATAGAATTTGACAATATAATGAAACCTCCTCATGATGACATTGTCCTCCCCGTCTTATATTTAGGATTGGGCGATCAATCAAATTCCTAAATGTTGTGATGGACAGACAGGTGGTAGAGTGGCAACGCCCAGTTACAATGTTAGGTATGAGAGTTACAAATTCTTTGGCGGCGGTGCGTCACCACCATTTTGGCCGGCGCTGCCATTTCCACCACCACCTTATCCTCCCTTTGATCAATCCGTGTCCAAGCAAGGTATCAAATTCCAGAAAAAGTTCCTTTTTCTTTTGTTTTGAACTTAAAAGAACATGCACTATCTAATAGTGCATATAGTATCATGATAGATGAGTAGAAATTTTGGCTGCTATTTTATATCGGGTAATAAGTCTGAAAAAGTATCTAAAAATAAAAAATTTAGATATTAGTACTCTATCGAAATAAGAAACCATGGCGTGTGTGTGTGTGTGGAATAGATTCCATTTGAGAGGGTTGAAAAGGCAGTGTGAGATTACAGACGAAATTAAACCCACGGCCCTCATTTAGGTGAGAATTTTCATATCATCGGACTAAAAACCTATTGGCTCAAAATTAGAAATTCTAGCTTGTGATATTTATGTATTTGAGGGAAAACTATTATTAAAAAGAAAAGGAACAGATTTTGTGAGATTTACATATATTACCTCCCGCTTTGGTTGACTAATTTGAATAGATCAATAAAATTTGTTAAGTTAGTTATTGATAATAAATAGGTATTGTCTAAGTTAGTTATGTGTAATACTACCCCCAGTCCTAATTATAAGACCTTGTTTATAGTCTATTAGTTATTTGTAATACTACCCCTGATCCTAATTATAAGACCTCGTTTGTAATCTACAAATACGGTCTTATAATTAGGACCGGAGGTACAAACGAGATCTTATAATTAGGATGAAACTAGTAAATATGTGTTTTTTTTCCTAGAATATCCTTATTGATTATGTGTATTAGCTAGAACTATCATTTGATGAAATCTTTAACATGTGCAATTAATACAAGAATTACTTTAAAAAATAGATAAATATGAAAAATAAAGTAGATTATGGTCTTATATTTAGAATCAAATTGAATGTCAAACTAGCTCTTATATATGTTAAAAACCAGAAATAGTTTTTTTATATTTATTATCTATTTTTTTAATATTTCTATCATAGATATTTGTTTATTTTTATGAATACAAAAAGATCAACATTAATTAATCTCATTTGGAAAAGTAAATTGACATATATATATTTCCTCATCTGATGTCGTAGTCAAATGATATTTGTCGTGTCATTGCTATAATGTAAGGTTTAATTAAAGACATTTGGTAAATGAAGATTCTCAATTATCAGATTAAACCGTTTTTAACCAGAATCAGACCGTACTCTTGAGCAAAGTTTACTCTGGTTTTCGATATGCCTTCATATGGGTTTCCCCAAGTTTTTATTTTTATTTTTTAAAATTTCATGAATTAAACCTATTATTTCTGCATACATGGTCGATCAATTATGTGATCATGCATACATAATAATTAATGCAATAATATTTTTTTGGGTCTTGTGCAGGAAAGAGCAATAATACATCACGAATCGTTATTGCCATAGTTGTGCCATTTGTCTCAATCGCAGTGCTCATCTCTATTGTCGTAATTTACTTAAAATTAAAGGTCAGGAGGCCTCAGAATATTGAAAGCAAGTCAACTTGTTACGTTGTGTGCTGATTTTTGGGGTGTCGTTTTAATTTTCTTGATACAGAATATAACATATAATAATAATCAAAACATATATCAGCTTTATAGCAGCTAGGTCTTAACTGAGTCCAGATGAGTTTGATATAATAGACTAAATAAGTTGGGTCTAAAACCAGCAAGATAGAAGGAAGTCGAAACAGATTTTAAAAAAAAAAAATTTAACAGCAGTTTTTATCTACAGTTTCAAGATGGAAAAGTCATTAATTAAATTAAAACCATTTCAATACGTCTTTATGGCTCCATTATTAATTTGTATTCCAATCAATGTGTACGTAGCCGAAGCTAAGGATGCTGCTGACTCATTGCAAATGGATTTTGAAACAATCAGAGGGTCAACAAATGATTTTTCTGACACAAATAAGCTTGGACAAGGTGGATTTGGACCTGTTCACTTGGTAAGATTTATTGTATAAAAACGATTTTTTTTTAAGGTTCTAGCTTAGAATGATGTATTCAAATTTTTTATATAATTTCAGGGTAGGTTGTATAATGGGCAAGAGATAGCAGTAAAAAGGTTGAGTAGGGAATTTGGTCAAGGTGGTATGGAGTTCAAGAATGGAGTGTTATTAATGGCCAAGCTTCAACCTCGCAATTTAGTCAAGCTACTTGGTTTCTCTAAGAAAGGCTACTTGTTTATGAGTTTGTTCCAAACAAAAGCCTTGATTACTTCGTCTTTCGTAATCTATTATTTATGTTTTCCTATTACTTCAATGATTGAGTAGAAGCATAGTTCTTAAAAAAATATAATTGATATATCATAGCACATTTGTGTTTATGCAGATCCAATGAAGGCCACAGAATTGAATTGGGAGAAGCGTTACAAAATCATCGAACGCATTGCTCGGGGTCTTCTTTATCTTCATCAAGATTCTTGAATTCAAATTATTCATCGTGACCTCAAAACAAGTAATATATTATTGGATGAAGAGATGAATGCCAAGATATCAGACTTTGGAATGGCAAGATTATTTGTAATGGATCAAACTCAAGCCAAAACAGATAATATTGTTGGCACCTAGTAAGTCAGTACATATGATTAATTAACTATAGTAGATATGTCATTATTTAGAGTCATCATTAATTATTAGATGTTTAACTATATGACAATGCAGTGGATATATAGCATCAGGATATGCAAAGCATGGAAGATTTTCGATGAAGTCGGATATCTTTAGTTTTGGAGTACTGATTTTAGAAATTATAAGCGGCAAGAGAAACAGTGAATATGAAGACTGGGAAGATCTAGAGCATACAGGAAGCGCAGTAAGTTGCCCCTCTATTATGAGTTTAAACTAAATTAAATTGCAATCCTATAACACATGTAATATTAAAAATTTACTACTTTCAATCCTAAATATAAGATCTACTTTGTATTTTAAATTAATAATATAGTGTGGTTCATTTATGAAATATTGTTGCAGGCTTGGAAAAGGTGGAGAAAAGGGACATTGTCAAGTATTATAGACCCCAGGCTGATTGAAGAAGGTGGTTCTTCAAGAAATGAGATACTTAGAGGCATCCAAATAGGGTTATTGTGTGTTCAAGAGAAGGCAAGTGATAGGCCAACAATGGACACTATTGTAGCAATGTTGAGTGCTTATTCATTCTCTCTACCCATTCCTCTGCAACCCTCCTTTTATATCCAGGGAGGCTTACCAGATGATGTTGTTATTAGATCTTCATCATCGTCTCAAGAAGATCAGTCAGCAGTTGAAGCTTCAAGAAATGAACTCTCAATTTCAGAACAATAACCACGTTAGATCATATTATATAGATGACTAGTTAATGGTTTTGTTGCTTAGTGGCATGGAAATTTCTTTGTAAGTGAAAAACTACGGCTTCCATCCCACTAATCAGATCAGACCGTCAATTCCAACGTCCCTTTAATTTAATGTGTGTGTGTGTGTGTGAGATTAGTGCCCAGCGCCGTTTTCTGTTTCCCCAAACAATGTTTTATAAGATCTACAAGAATCTGTACTATTAATAGGTTATGAATAATTAATGTGCCTTATTTCAGATGATACATATGTACCTAAATTGTAGTTTTTTTGAATGACCTCAAGCACCAACAAAACGTTGCTACATAGAATCATTTTCAAATCTAATAATGAAGATGAACTTGTGTTTTCATAAATGGTTTTGTCAACCCTGAATGGTATAACATCTTAACTCATTTTATCTCTCATATTTGTCACTTTTATTTAAATAAATTTCTCTAGCTTATAAATTGATATAGTATAAACTAATATTATATATAGGTATTTTAACGAGATCATGTCGATTTTGTTAGAATTAAGTGATATATTTAATTTTCTCAATCTATTCCAATTAATTAAATATATAGTCCTCACATTAAGAATTGAAGGAATATATACACACACTATATAGAGTAAGACACAAGGTGATCAGGATTGTTATCATTATATACTTTGGGTCAAATGTCCGCTTAAGCTTTAATTAATCTCTCAAATGCTACTTATATTCTTTAATATAAGAACTGGTTTGCTATTAAATTTGATCATAAATATAAAACCCTAATCCACTTGTCTCTTATATTTATTTATTTTTCCCCCAAAATAGTTATTGTAACAGTTATATATGTTAAAAGTTTTATCATATAATAGTTCTAATTAATATATATAATTAGCAAATATATTTTAAAAAAGATAATGCTTATTTATTATAAATAACTAATTTAGCTAATTTTTTAATCTATTCAAATTAATCACCAGCTCTTATATTACTATTAATTGAAATAGAGAAGCACATAATGAAACCCCCTCACGATGACACTGTCCTCCTCGTCTTTTCTTATATATAGTGTGTAAAGTGCTTGGATCCTTTTCACCAGTTATATATCTAAAGCACATAATTGGATTCGAAAACCAAATTAAATAGAAGAGATGAGTTTAATCTATAAAAGGCAAAATTCGAAAGGACACTCTTATTCGAAAATGATTATAGTCAGGGATATTTTTGTTTTCAAAATCACCAATCGCGGGATTGAAACGTGAAAAAGCAATACCAGGAGAGATAAGTTTGTCCAGTCCCAGGACACTATGGTCTTGGTGTGAAACATTGAAAATGAGAGATAAAGACTAGAATTGTAATTGAGAAAAATTATTAAAAAAGTCTTTAGCATGACTAATAATTGCTTGTTATATGGGATTGGACAAACCCATATATATGGGTTTAAAAAAACCATATTCTCTCATGGTATTTTCTAATCCCACATGCATGGGTTTGTCCAATCTTATGTAATAAGTAATCTCTTGTATTAAATACTTTTGTGATAGATTTTTTTTCAATCTCAATCCCAATTCCTATTTCTCATTTTTAATATTTTCTACCAAATGAGGCATATGTATATCCTGAATGCCACCTGCTAAACAATACAAATTTTCTCATTTCCTGACCTAGTCACAATCTTTCGTACCAAACATGGCCCATTGTCTATGAAACATCGGACATAGATATCAAAGCATTCTTCTCAGCCACTTTTTTCCTCTCACAATTATTGCTCCTTCATAAACACTTGGACCAGGTCAAAATTTTGGAGCTAAAATCATATCAGAGAGAATTGAAAGATTTAGAAGAACTTTATTAGAAAATTAAGTAAACTAAAAAGTCATTGTTTACATATATATATATATATATATATCGTATCTAATTAAATAGCAGGGGTAATTGCCTTTATTTATTTATTTATTTTGCCAAAGTAGTAGGTGTAATTGTTAATGAATAGTCACAAATCAAATTAGGTATATATGTCTATCGTTATGTAAGCTAAGCCAGGAGGAAACTAAACCGATCATAATGTTGGAATATAATAGTGTTGAGAAAATAGGAAAAAAGAGGAGAGATAATAATATCAAAGGCTGCGTAATTATAAGTGGGGTGAACTAGTAAGGGGTCGTTTGGATTTGCAATTAATGTATAAGCATTTATAAGTGCTTTCACTTAGACAAAATTTCTTTCACATTATTATTTTGTATTCTATAAATTTGATTGTGTTAAGATTATAGTACAATTCTTAAAAAAATGTAGATTAGGATGAGAGGTAAACAGATTAAAGATTCCGAGCTGTCCACTAAAAGATAGTCAAAAAAGTTGAGGGCCACCATTAGTCGTCCACGAAACACAGAACATGGATGGATATCTTTTAAGGATTCGTCTCAGGCACCCATTTCCCTCACAATTATTACTCCTCCACCAACACTGCTTGCACCTGGTCAACATTTTGGTGGTAACAAACTTACTACTATGCTTCTAGAAGGCTCATTACAAGCCATCAACTAACAAGTCGTTTTTGTTTTTATATAGGGAAAATGACATTAAGGTCCCACACAAGCAAATACACGGCAAAAAGGTCCCCTAAATTGTGATAATTCTTCTAAAGTCTCAAAGGGACTTGGCTGCAATTTTTAGAAAGTTAAAATGACTTCTTTGCTCTAGCATCTCAGAAATAGAAGGTGCTGAGGTGAGTTTACTGCGCAGTGGGGTTCTATTATGGCTGAGAGAGAGAGGATGTGGAGAAAAAAGGAAGGAGCCATTGATAATGAAGTATTTTCCCCATTACCATTAGTGAATTCCAAAGAGGTTCCATTTGAATCTCCACAAATCTTTAGGTCTGGAAATTTCTTTCCTTTTCTCTCCTGGAACATTTTTCTTGACAGATTGATTGTGTTTGAGAATGAGAAATCAGAAAATCATTTTTGCCTTTGGTATTGCAAAGCTTTTGTTTTTGATCTAATATGAACAAGTAAATCAATGAAAAAACTGTGTTTTTGGTTGGTGTGTGTTGATGATTTAAGTTGGGTTTGTAGAATAATCATAGGTACTCTATTTTTGGGTGTATTGTGGGTGGTTTTGCTTTGTTTTGGCATTACTTCAGGGGCAAAGAAAGAAAAAGATGAAGGTTAGTGTGGGTAGAAACCCTTAGTACAAAATGGGATATTGTATTGTCAATCAGGTTGCGATAGTTGTCAATATATGCTGTGACAGTTGTCAACATTGCTACTTGACTTGTTAATGACAGTTGCATGATTCTTGATGCGGGTTGATGTTATTGATGGTGGGTATATCTAGAAAGCATCTATTGTGCTTTCTTCATATAGGAGAAAAGTTTATAAATGATGGAGAAGATGATATGAGGTAGTGTAAGAACAACAACTATAAAGAAGAGAACAAGTTATGAAAAATTGAAGGAAATTATGTCATCAATTATTAGAAAAGAAAATAACTCATTTCTCTTGAAATTCTCAGTTGTATTTGATAAAAAAAACATTTGTAGAGTTGGTAGATGATGATGGGGTAGAACATTTGATAAAGTTCAATAAAGAAAGTGGTCATGTGTACGTAGAAGAGAATGGAAATAAGGACCACATAGAAGCAATAAGGGATAATGCAATGGAGGAGCAAGATGTGTAAGTTTAGTTTAATAAGTATGTTATTATCATTTTTTGGTATTGCAATTGTTACTGTCTTGCTACCAACTTGCCAATGCATATACCCTGACTTGTCATTTCCTGCAGGATTAATCAATTATTTAAAGGTATCAATGGATTGTCTATGTCTCCATCTATCATGTTTGATGAGATTGGAGAGCCACCATCAATTCCTTGTGATGTTGAAATGATCCCAACACCTACACCACAAATGAATTCTACAAAATAAGAAAGTGTATCATTGTGGAAGATGCAAAAAGCCTGGACACATTGCCAACACATACAAGAACCCAAATCCTAGCTGAGAATATATTGAAGTCAGCTATTTTTTGTATATGGATGTGAAGGGAATATTTTGTAAATGGGTGTGAATGGAATTTTTTGTAAATAGAGGCACACCAATAGTTAGTTTGGTAATTACATGCAACCCTATATTTTTGTTAGGATGGGTTATGAAGTTGGTGTAGTTTCATGCATATGAAGGTGTAAATGAAAATTAGCCATGAACTGACATTTTGCTATCATTTCAGTTGTAATTAGTTGCACCCTGCATTGTCAATAGAGTTGTTATGACTTGTCAGTCATTACAGTATGACTTGTCAATTAATTTGCAGATGTAAGTTGTCAACAATATGTATTCAAGTTACATAACCTGTTTTAGTTTCATATGATATTTTAAATCACTCTGACATTTTATATTTTGGTTATATTGTCATATATAATCATTATTAATGAAGTATCAATAACTGCATTATCCCTTGTGAATGGTGGCACTGTGACTTGTTAATGGTCGCAATGTCCCTTGTCAATGGTCACACTGTCCCTTGTCAGTGGTGGCATCTTGACTTGTCAATGGTCGCACTATCCCTTGTCAGTGGTCGTACTATCTCTTGTCAATAATTGCAAAGGTAATAATATTATAACATAATTTAATCAGTTTGTTACAAAATGACTTGTTGACCATTGAGCTATTACTACTTGTCTTACAACACATCCTGGCCTAACAGAATAAAAAATTAATTGACTACTTTATCTCCTCTTCTTGCTCTTATTATAGTTCGATAGCTTCGACATCACTTCATCCCCATGTTCATTATTTGGATGGCTAACCAACCACCACAAATAGCCAACCTTTAACTCTTTTAGTTCACTATCGGAGTATCAACAACACAAGGAATTGATGGTGGCTCTCCAATCTCATCAAACAAGGTAGGTGGAGATATAGACAATTTATTGACACCTTCAAATAATTGATCAATTTTGCAGGAAATGATAAATCAGGGTGCATGCATTGGCAAGTTGGT